TTCATAGATGACAGTAGTTTGCTAATATATTTTGGTGCTCCTTCATTTGGTGCATATATGTTGATGATTGTTATTTCTTCTTGTTGTATTGTCCAGGCCCGCTTCCATTTTTATGGCTGGAGAACATTCACTATATATGTGAGTGCTTGTGTATGATTTACACATGTTTTTCTCTATCCACCCATTAACACTTAGGTTGTTTCCATGTCTTGGCTACTGTGAATGATGCTGCAGTGGACATGGGGATGCAGACATCTCTTTGAGACCATGGTTTTGTTTCCATTGGCTAGTTCCCAGAAGTGGTGTTGCAGGATCGTATGGTAGGGTCTATTTTTATTTTTTGGAGGAAATGCCATACTGTTTCCATAATGATGGTACTACTTCATACTCCTGGAATAGGGCAACACTGCTGGGTATTTAAAGCACATCCGCTTAGCCTCCATTTCAGTACCCTGACTCTTGCCCACTTAGGCATATTCAAGAGCTCCTGCTACATCGACGTGCGCTGGTTTCCTTTTGACGTGCAGCAGTGCAAACTGAAATTCGGGTCCTGGTCCTATGGAGGCTGGTCCCTGGACCTCCAGATGCAGGAGGCAGACATCAGCGGCTACATCCCAAATGGAGAATGGGACCTTGTGGGTAAGCCCCACGGAGCCCCAAGCCTAGCAGCCTGGAGGAAAGCTGCACTATTCCTGTGCCAGCTTACAGTCTAGGGTGTTCCAGACTTTCAGTGTGAGCGTTTATGAAACACTGCAGCATTTCCCATATATGCATATCCATATAAGCATATACCCTTATATGATGAGAAACAAACAAAAGACAATTTAAAAACTCAGCGCTTTCCCAAGGAGTTTGCAGTAGGGGGAGGTCACATTTGGACAAGTCATTGGTAGCAGGGGCATCCCATACCAACAGCATTCAAATCCACTCCATCTCTAAAATCAAGTAGGAGGTCAATGGCAATGACAGGAACATGCATTTAATCATTTTTAATAGAAAAACAATACTTGCATTTACTGTGGTGGAATGTTCACGGTACATTATCTGTAACCATAGTGTCCTAGGCAGTTCAGGATGCTCTAAGAGAATGCTATATCACTAACTCTACTGGTGGTGTATAAACAATAGAGATGTATTTCTAATTGCTCTGGAGGTTGGGAAATCCAAGACTAAGGTGCATTTTCAGTGCCTGAGAGGACTGGCTTCCTGGTTCTCAGGGCCTGTCATCTGACCGGACCTCACAGGGAAGAAGGACGAGGGAACTCTTCGGGGCCTTTCATAAGGGATGAGAATCTCATTCATGGGGGTTTCTTCCTCATGACCTAAGCACCTCCCAAGGGCCCATCTCCTGTACCTTCACACTGCACATGAGGAATCAATATATTCATTTGGGGGTGACCCATATATTCCGTTCATAACACAGAATTTCAATCCATTCGAATAAATCTGCCAATTTACTCAAATATCACTAAGAGACTCCAAACAATTCTATAATAAGCCAGAAAGTTTATCTTCAAACACTGGTTACCACCACCACCACCACCCCTTTTTTTATTAGCATTTAGCAGACTCCATGGCTGGGTTAATGTGGTATAACTGTTAATGTGGTGGTGGGAAATTGACAGAGACAGAAGGGGGGGAAAATCAAATACAAAAAAATGAGCCATGATATAAGAACATAAAAAAACAAGCAGGGTAATTACTCAAACAATGCCCTCCACCCCAGGAATCCCCGGCAAGCGCAGTGAGAAGTTCTATGAGTGCTGCAAGGAGCCCTATCCGGACGTCACCTTCACAGTGACCATCCGCCGCAGGACCCTCTACTATGGCCTCAACCTGCTCATCCCCTGCGTGCTCATCTCCGCACTGGCCCTTCTGGTCTTCTTGCTCCCTGCAGACTCTGGGGAGAAAATCTCCCTGGGTAAGTGCCTGGATCTCTGGTGAGAGTCTGAGATGGAATGGGGGACCCTACTTTGAGATCATCTCAGGGGCTCACTATGTGCATTCTAGGGGTCACTGGGGTGCTGGGTATGGCAATGTCCCAGGGCCCCCTGAGCACATCTTACTGAACCCCTGGCCCAGGGTAGCTCCTGAGGCCTCACGCTGCAGATTTAGGCTTCGAGAAGATGGCCACGTCCTGCTGGATTTTCTGATTGTTCTATAGTTCTGGCTCCTGGACTCGTCTCCACCTCTAGGAAGTAAATTCCTGTGCCCATATGATCAGAAAACCACACACTTGGTTCCAGGAATGCTGCAGGCCCTCCTGACCCCCCTCGGGACTCAACCCCAGGCCCGGGTCTGATGGGACTCAGTCCTCATGTGTCCCCTGCTCAGGCGCTGTGTGTTTATGTTTCAGGGATAACCGTTTTGCTTTCTCTTACTGTCTTCATGCTGCTGGTGGCTGAGATCATGCCTGCGACATCTGACTCAGTGCCCCTGATAGGTAAGTGAGCCCGGCTTCCCAAGGGTGTCCAGGGCTCCTGGCTCTCAAAGCAGCAATGGGGCCTCAGGTGTGTGAGAGTTGCGACTGCTTTCTGCTTTGAGAAGATGCCTCACCTGGGGGGGAGGAGGACGGGGGGGGGGCGACATTGGGGAGTGCAGGCCTGCTTGGTGGTTGGAGGTGAAGTTGCTTCCTTGCTCCCAGAAACCCCGTCAGGCCTGTCACAGGGCTATAGAGTGCTCACCATTAGAGATTCACTGTTTTTGTTTCAGGTATTGTTTTCTCACAAAACCTTTGCTAAGAAGACAGGAGCAAACACTAAAGGCCTTTGTGAGTGTGGTATATGTCTCAGTCTTAGGGGGACCTGCCTTTCGCCTTAACAGCCTGACCCCATTTCTTTCTCCTTGTCAACACAGGGCTCTTGGGGGAAGTCCGCAGATTGGCCTTCAGTGGTGAGCCCATGAGAAAGGCTGGGCTGAGGCTTATAAGATGTGGCCAGCCTCTGACCCCTGTGGTTGGGGTTTTACCGTGGGGTCCTTTGACTTTGGTTCCTCCATAGATTATCATAGATTATTGTCTTCACCTGTTAGGGATGAAACTGTTAAATTTTAGGGCCATCCTAAAATTCTGCAGACCAGTGGCTTCCATGACTGTAGCTCTGGAGGCTGGCAAGCCAACATAAAGGTGTGGGAGACTTGGTTTCTCCTGAGGCCTCTCCTTGGCTTCCCATGGCCTAGCCATATTCTGCATCCTCACCCAGTCTTTTCTCTCTGTGTGTCTGGTTTCCTTTAGTAAATGGTGTGAGAACAGAGGGCAGGAATCCCCCACCCCTCTGGTTTCTTCTTGAGCTAGGAGAGCAAAGAAATTAATGTCAGATCAGTAGGAGAAAAGGCCACATTTAATTACATATGTATGGAGCATTTAAATGCTTGTAAATTCTAAAATAAATGGGACAAAGTGAAGGTTTATGTCTTGAACTAAGGAGTGGGATAGGGGTCTGGGGTGTCAAGGAGAGAGGAGGGACTCATGAGATGAGGAGGACATGACGTCGCAGGACAGAATCCTGCCTCTATGAAGACAGGCTTTTAGATAAAAACGGTTACTTCTGGAGATGTCCCTAAATTGGGGTAATCTTCATTATTTAAGGTGATGGTAGCAGTTTCTCCTGAGGCTCAGGGCTTCGTGGACAGTAGCTCCACGTGTCCAAGTGACATGTACTAGAAAAAAATTGCCCTGGACATCTTGGGAAACCTGTGTGAATTTTTTTGGGGGGAGCCGATCCTACAAAAGGTACCAATCAAGTTGGAACAAGGCCACCCTAACAACTGCCTTTAGCTTAAATACTCTGTAATGCGTCTTATATTATATGGGTCCTTAAGTTTAGAGCTTCAATCTAGAGGTTTTAGGGGACATAATTTAGTCCATACTTTCACGTCTTGTCCACTCTTCCTCCCCATCCTGATGCTAATTTCAGTTCAAATGTCCCCCTCTAAACACACCAGGAAGCTGCTTCTTTGTCTCCAGGGGAGAACAGTGGGTTAGTGCTACCTGGAAGGTGTTCTTGACCAGCTATGTGGCTGCTCATTTAGCCTCCTAGGCCAGGATGCTCTGTTTAGAGTTCTGACCCCTTTGGCAGGCAGCCACCCTGACTCCTTTTGACAGCATTGCCAGTTAAGGAACACTGTACCAGGCTTCCTTCTAGATCCTTTACCCACAGAATCGCCGATTCCAGCACCAAGCCTACAAAGAAGACCTTTCCATTCCTACTGTACTGGGAAAGAAACTGCAGCCCAGAGAGGCTGCTTGGCCTGCTGTCCAAATTTACGGAACAAAGGCAGTCTGTCAGGGGACTGGGGAGAAGCTTTCTCAGATGCTCCAGGCTGCTCTTACCTGGGGCAATGCAAAGCTGAAGCTAATGTCCACAGCCTGAAAGTCCCTGCCCAGAACCTTGTCCTCAGGCTGAACCACTGACTCCCCAGTGTTTCTCAGTAGGTGGGAACAGATTCACCATCCACGCTCATGCCCCAAGTGTTTCAGACAGCCAGGTGATGACCAGGTATGCCCACATTATACCCCTTGGGAATCCTGTGGTTTTCATGACAGTGACCAGATCCCTGCTCACACACACTGGCCAGGTGAGTCCAGTTCAGCCTCCCTCCCACCCTGTAAGGCACTGTGAAGGCTCACGGAGGAGGAGGGAATCCAGAGAATGGCCCTCAGTGGGGCCAGCCATTCTCCAGGATGGGACGGCAGGTCTTTGTGCTGTAGCTGTCCACTGGGAATGGGAGAGGTAGCCTGGGAGCTGGCGTCAGCCCTGCCCCACCCTCCACATCCCTGACGTTCAGAGAGCGCCACACCCACAGCCCTGGCTACTGGGGCCCCTGGGTGCAGGAAACCCAGGTCTCACTGCTGTCTCCTCTCTCGACAGCCCAGTACTTCGCCAGCACCATGATCATCGTGGGCCTCTCTGTGGTCGTGACAGTGACCGTGCTGCAGTACCACCATCATGACCCCGACGGCGGCAAGATGCCCAAGTGGGTATGTCCCTCCCGCCCTCCAGCCCTGACAGTGGGAGTCAGGGTCCTCTGCCCAGAGGAAGCCCACACACAGCCGTGACCCCCAGGGAGGGCCTCCCCTACTGTGCATGTCTGCAGAGAGGACCCTCCTGGCGCTTGCCCCATAGGGACCTAGAGCTCTGTCCTCTCAGTCCCCTGTCCCTGGCAGGGCTTGCACGCTGGCTGCTCTGCCCATTTTGCCAGCACAAGAGTCCTAAAACTTCTTTTTACATGCTGCCCACTATGGCGAACTGGGCAGCGGTTGGAAGTCTAAGTTGAGATAAGCACAAACCAAGTGTGGCTGGATGTTCGCAATAGAAGCAGGTGAAAAGAATATAGTATGGGCTGAGCTATGTGGAAATGCATGCGGTACACCTGGCACACAGTCTAACCAAATGCCTGTACTATAAATGTTCCTAGTCACCAGAAGGAAAAGGGAAAGAGAATGAAAAGGAAATGGATGGAGAAGTCAGTGGTTGAATAAAATAGCTAGTTCCCTTCGCCCAAGACTTGCCACTCCTCAGCGCTGCTTAGCAGCTCTGGTTGTGACGTCAGCTGATGCCCTTCAGAGTCCAGTGTCTGTGGCACTACACCCGCCCTGGCCTGACCCTTGGGAGACCTTGATTAGGGCTCGCCATAGGGGCACAAGACCCCCGGCACTGGTGGGCTGCTCCCACACCATGTTTCTTCCTTAGGAACAGCAAACATTGCAGAATTCCTATCAAGGGAGCATGACCTAGGGTCAAGGGCAGACCTAAAGAAGCCCCCGATAACAAAAAGAGCCTATCTTTGGAGACCCATGACCTAGCATCAAGCTCTGAGAAGACTCTAGGATTCACCACCTTCTAAATGCAGCTGCAAGATGTAAGACGCATGTTTGCTAACCCCCAAGAACAGGGATTTCTGGGTCTTCCTAAAACATTGTGAGATGACTTAGTTATCCTCGTGTCTCATGGGGCTTTGTGCAAGTCTACACTGGCCTCAGGGTTCATGGGGCACCCTGTGACCTTGCTCCTAGTGTTCACAGAAAACCCTGAAGGTCAATGACCACAAGCTTTCCAGGTTCAGAGGTGTTTGCAGGAAGAAGGCAGGATATGAAGAGTACCCCCTGCTACTTAAAAAAATTTGGCCTTGTGAAGTTACTGTGTCCCCTTGGGTTCTCTGCCGTAGAAAGCTCCCCTCTTGCACCTAATCACCCAGCCAGTCTCCCCTGTGGCTTCACTCTGCTGCCACCACCAAGCTTGATAACCATTTAAAGTAATTCCTTCTTTTGCCATCCAGTGTTTGTTTATGCAAATGCTAAAATGTAAACACACATTCTTAATTATTTTAAGTGTTCTGAGGGATGTCAAGTTAAGGGGCTGCTAGGGTAGGGGAACTAAGACAAGACACAAACCATTTTAAATGACCTGGTAGCACTTCACTGTTCCAGAAAAATGTTAATTTAGAGCATATGCTAATTACTCACCTCTCAGCCCAAGAGCATGTTAAAACCACTGACTGCAAATGAAATATGAAGCTTGTATCTTGCTTTCATTTCAGATGGCTCTCTGCATTCTTTCCATGTGTGTTTGAAATATAAGCAACCTCCAAGGGACTTTTATTATGATCTGTTGCTAAGAAGATACTGTCAGTGTGGTGGCATTATGTGACATTTGCACAGTCAGAAACAAAACTATAACCTAACAGAAGAGGTCATGAGCACAGTTTGATAAGTGCCAAGAGGATAATTTCATCTTTTGAGATGCTTTAACTTTGAAAGCTAATGATTCACACTATGGAATTCAAAGTAGACTTGGCACTTGAGATATGCCCAGGGGGATGCCAGAACCCCCACATGGCAGGAAAAGCACTGCGTAGCCCTCTCTGTGCTCAGCTGCCTCTGAGTTTGGACATGCTCACAGCCTTCTGTTCCCAAGATCTCTGGTCCAGGTTTCTAGTGCTTTCCAAAATGGTTTGGGTGGGGCTGAAGTCACAGGAGGTTTGGAGAGAGCCTTGTAGGGCATTTTAAAGATGAGATTGTGAAGATCTAATCACTTTGGATGACTTGCTCACCTGAGCTGATGTTTTTGCCTCTGTGAGCCTCAGATTCTCTATTTGTAAAATGGAAGAGGGGTTCCTAGTTATTTAGTTCACACATCATAGAGTGCTGAGAAGCCCAAGTGAGATGACCTGTCTCATGAGGCTTTGAGCAAGTTCACACTGATCTAAAGACTCATGGGTACTCTGTGTCCTATTCATGGAATACTCTGGAGGTCAATGAGTGCAGCTTTCCAGGCTCCAGGGGTGTTTGCAGGGTGAAGGCAGGATATAAAGCATGCCACCTGCTAGGAACAGTTAAGTACAAGCTGCAGTGAAACTTCTCATGCTTTCTTGTTCTTTTCATTGCCTGTCTCCAAACCTGTGTAGTGCAGCTATCTCTGATAAAACACCATAACAGTAATCACCAATAAAGAGTCCGAGACATGAACTTCAGAACTTACTGCCCATACTTATAGATGGGAAAAATACCTGCCACACTGCTGTTGGAATTTGCCTGCAACCGTAGACCAGATTTCAAACGACATCAGGATCTGGATAATTTCGGGGAAAGGGCACACTTTCAGGCACTTCTCCAAACAGGCTCGTTAGAATGCCCCCGCCTCTCTCCTGGATAGAGGCTTCAGGTGGCTCTTTTCATTCTATTAAAGAATATTAAAAAGTCTCATTGATTCATTGATTTCTCTTCTGCCTCTTCTAAGCATATGGACATTATTCATTCATAATGCACTTTAGACCAGATGTTGGCCAAATAAAGCTCTGGTGGCCAACCTCAGTCCACAGCTGCTTTTGTAATTAAAATGTGTTTAGGAAACCATCACGCCCATTCCTCGATATGCTGTCTACAGCCGATTTTGTCTCTTGCTGTGCTTACCTAAGGCAGAGCTGAATAGCTGCAACAGACATTTGTGCAAAGCTAAACTATTTCCTAGCTTCTCCTGTACAGAAAGTCTGGCATCCCTGCGTCAGAATTGGCAGAGTGCTTCCCACGAAGCATCTCTCTCAGGCTTCCTGCAGCCTGATAAGCTAGGTTAGCACTTCCTTCATTCCTTTGGTTCCTAGCATGGTTTGTGTCTCAAATTGTCTCACACAGCCACTCGAGCAAAAGAATTATCTCTCAGTTCTGTTTACCAAATAATCAAAACCAGTTAGTAAGCCCTGATGTATGAACAACTCAGCACTGGCTGGCACAGCACCACCTCTCAAGCCCTGGGGTCATGTCCGAAGCAAATACGCTTCTTCTCTGTTCCATGTTGACTTTCCCTGCACGTGATTCTAAAAGGCACAACCTTAAACTCCTGCTTTGCCACAGTTTGTAATTGCAAGAGATGTAGCATTCTGATGTTACACTCTGAAGGGCTTCAGAAGGAGTTGGCGCTGTGCAATAAACCTCACTGCATGGCACTGGGAAAGTGTTAAGTTTGCAAGAGCACCCTTGTGAGTTTGCTGTGGCCCTCTGAGTAACTCACAGGGATAACTCCTTACAGATGATGAAGGATCAGAGAGGGTAAGTTACTGGCTCTGGGCTCAAAGCCTAGTGTTCTCTTTGCAAGCCAACCTTCACTGCAGTCTCTCTTCTGTGAGATGCCCTGAGCCTGCCGCTGAAAGATCAGCTCCTTCCCAGTATTCCACACCGACTTGATCCCCACCGCCTTTCTGAATCTGCCTTGTCATGTGCTGGCATCGCTTCCGATGTAATCTCACCTGGGGTCCTGGTGCCCCCCAGGCGACACAGCCTAAAGCCAGTAGTTGAGGCTCCCATTGTTGCCGGCTCAGCGATCACCGCTCCTAACGCTGTTGTCTCCCCAGACCAGAGTCATTCTCCTGAACTGGTGTGCATGGTTCCTGCGCATGAAGCGGCCGGGGGAGGACAAAGTGCGCCCCGCCTGCCAGCACAGGCAGCGGCGCTGCAGCCTGGCCAGCGTGGAGATGAGCGCGGTGGCGGGGCCCCCGGCCACCAACGGCAACCTGCTCTACATCGGCTTTCGGGGGCTGGACGGCATGCACTGCACTCCCACCCCTGACTCGGGGGTCGTGTGTGGCCGCCTGGCTTGCTCGCCCACGCACGACGAGCACCTCCTGCACGGCGGGCAGCCCTCTGACGGGGACCCGGAGCTGGCCAAGATCCTCGAGGAGGTCCGCTACATCGCGAACCGCTTCCGCTGCCAGGACGAAAGCGAGGCCATCTGCAGCGAGTGGAAGTTCGCGGCCTGCGTGGTGGACCGCCTGTGTCTCATGGCCTTCTCGGTCTTCACCATCATCTGCACCATCGGCATCCTGATGTCGGCTCCCAACTTCGTGGAGGCTGTGTCCAAAGACTTTGCTTGATCTGTCTTGGTCCCCAGCGTGGAGGAAATGCACAGATAGGCAAATGTCTTTGGTAAGACTTTGGGGTGCTAATCCCACATTCCTCGTGTGGACGTTTCTGTTGGTAGTCATCTGTTTCCTGGTTATGTTCGGTAGTAGCATCTTCACCCGTTTTTGTTGAATTCTTTCAGGCTGGCTGTTTGATAGGCTTGTAGCAACCCCAAGGTCAGCCAAGGTCAGTGAGCCCCTGGGAGCCCATTTGCTGGCGGGAGACTCCCTGGTGAGCCCTTCAGAGAGGTTGGGGGATGCTCAGGACTGTATGTGGGTTTGCATGCCTGCATGTATGTCACTTCAGTGGAGGCCTCCGTGGGAGTTCAGTATATACCTTTGCCTCCTACAAACCCAGATGGAAACTTCTAACAATAAACCAAGCTCACAGAATCTGTTCCAATAAGGGACTGTTGAAAGGGGGCAACAAACTAGGCTAAACACTTTTACACTTCTCAGATGGCTTCTCAGAAATTCAGATTTCAGATTTATTTTCTCTACCCAAAGACAGTTGGTAGGAAGTTTTATGTTTCTGTAGTAAAACAATCAAACAAACAACAAAACGGACGCGAAATTGGTCTTGTAAACTGTGCTTTTGCCAGCCTGATTTCTGTAGCCCTGCTCTGTCAGGGGAGTCGAAACAGGTGTGCATTCATTCTGAACCAGGACCCGTGCAGTCAGGGGGCTTCTGCAGGCAGACCCCTGGTGGTCCCCAAGCCTCCTGCACTGCCCCCAGGCCCTGGAGAAGTGGGTGAGTCTCTTCTATTTTGCAAACCCAGAGGAAAAATCGAGTTCTGTTAGAATTATTAGTCTGATCGAAGAATTAAAGCTAAATTAAAATATGTGTTTTTTAAATAATTCAGTGGGTGTTTCACATGTATTGGAGTGTGCGTGGTACAGATGCACGACATAAGGTCAAAGCATGCTCGTTTCTTTCTTCACAGGTCGGCCGCAGGCTAGCGGCTAAGGCTTCTTCTGGCTTCCTGTGTTGCAGGAACTGGGAGCGATGTGATTTTGGCTTCCGTGCCAGGCCAGTAGAGAGGGGCAAGGGGGACTGGCAGGCTCACCGTGGCTGGGTAGCTGGTGACTCTGGTTTCTGATTCTGGGGCGTCTGTCTCTCCATAGTTCATCCACCCTAGCTTCAGCCCAGAAACCTGACAGGATGTGTGGGTTCAATGGAGATGTATGTTTTGACAGCAAGGGAAACTATTTTAAACCTTACTTGTAACACACTTCTCTACTCAGATGATCCCACTGACAGTACTCACTCAGTCTCTTCCCATTCTCCTATGTTTTGAATGGGCTTACAAGGTGATTCACCAAGAAAAATGTCTTTCCTTTTCTACTGTTTCACCCAGTCACTGCTCAAAGCTCAAAATTGTGTGGGGTGTGTGAGCGCCTGGGGATGGTTAATTTACTTTTAATCTCTGAGAAGGGTGTACGGTGAGGGAAGATTGAGTTTTAGCACAAAAGAGACTGCACCTCTTTCTCCTGCTGTCGTCTCACTCCATCCTGGGTGGTGTGCAGGCATTCCTCACACGGGTGAGGACGGAGGTGTGCACACACTCTGGGGCTTCGGAGAGGACCCCTTGTCCACAGCGAGCAGGGTGGTGAATCAAGGCGCCCAGCATCATGCTTTTGGAGCTGGGAAGGATGAAGGATGAACAGTGTCTTTTTTTATTATTATTAAAGTATCTTCAGCAATCAGGAGAGAAGTTTTTAATATAAAAAGAATACTTCATTTCTAACTGCTATCCAAATTGTGCTCCTTTCCACATTTTTGCTTAAAAAAGGGTTTAGTTCTGTACTTTATGCCAAAAAGCAACTAATAAAGCAAGCCAATTATTCATATTTTGACTATCCAAATGGCCAGTTTGTTGTTTCAAATACAGGAAGGAACAGACACGCACGTTGTTAGAAGGATGTGAATGGCTAGAGTTAAGGTCCCACGCTCCGTGTTTGCTCTCCTCACGGAGGACTAGAGATGAGCTTCTGGAGGGAGGCATGAGGGCTTTTGCAGCAAGGAAGAAAGGATAGAGTTAAAGCGGGAGGGAAGGGCACGGAGAGAGACGTTGCTTTTCGCCCATTCCTGCTATGCACAGCACTCTGCACTTTGCTTTTCTCACATCATGTTTTAGGTTAGAGATATGTCTGTAACATGTAAAGAGCTACCTCATTTTTCTTAATAGTGCTTAGTTTTTCCATTGTCTTGGTAAAACTTCTTTGATTAGTCTTTTATTCATGAACATATATAGTAATTCTTTTTTTTTATTTTTGTACACAAATCTATAATTAGCATCCTTGTACTTATATCTTAGCATCCTCTAATGACTATACCTTAGCATACATTCCAATGTGGAAATAGAATTGCTGGATTTAAGATTATATACAGTGAAGATTTTGATAGTGATTGCCAGATGACTCTTTCAAAACTAATCAGTGGAGACATCTACCAAAGGGCCAATTTCTCAACTTTCTCAGCATTGGATACTATCAAACTTGAAAAATGATACTGCAAAGTTATTTGCATTTTATTATGATTGAAGTTGAAAATATTTTCAAAGTTTTGTGGTAATATCCATTTTGCCCTGTACAGAATTTTCAATGGAGTTATTTGACTTTTTATTAATTTGCCCGTACACTTTAGAACGTTCCATCTTACGCCTTGAAATATGTTTATCTGTTGATTATTTGTCTTCATGTTACTTATTGGTTTGTTTATTTATTGGCTTATGCCAAGTTTAAGTTTTGATGTTATCAATTTATCATTATTTTCCTGGGATTTGTCTCCAGTTTTAAAAGGATTTCCCCATTCTGAGATTATAAATAAACGTACTCATATTTTTTCTAAATCTTAATGGTTTTATTTTCTGACTCTCTGGAATTTATTTATTTTAGGAAAAGATGGTAAAGATGTACTTTTCGCTCCAAATCAGTTGTGTCAACAAAATATATAGCAACACATTCCTATAGTACAATTATAATCTTTCTCCACTTGTTCAAAATGCCACCTTATTGCAAACTACGTGTGGGTCTCTTTCTGTTTTGTCGATTTATCTTTCTAAGAACCGTAAAATTCCGAGACTTTTTTATATTAGTATCAAATATTCATACTGATGTCAACGCCTTCAAGTCAGCCTTCCCCTCCGCTCTCCCCCTACCCTCTCTTTCTCTCTTTTACACACACACACACACACACACACACACATACACATACATCTTTTTTTTTTTTTTTTTGTGCATACAGAACTGGGGTACAGGCCAGAGGCTCAGGGGCAGTGAGAGGCTTCACCAGAGACAGAGTGGGAACAGAACAGGCAGATCAACGAAGTACACCGCTGAGGGGAGCAGCGGGCGGGTCAGGAGAGGTCTGCCACACCATGTGGTCACCTCCGGAGCAGGCGGGAATCGAACTCATGTGGAAGTGGCTTTAGATTCTCAGTGCTGTGCTTTAATCCACTGCGCCACGATGGAGGGCCACATACATCTTTTTTTTTAATTGAGATCATGATGAATTTATAGATTGAGTCTACAATCTAGAACCATATAATCTAGATTTATACTCAAAATAATTTTATGTCACTCAGTAGGTTTTGTTCAGACAGGTCCTAAGAATTTCTTGATGTTCATTTTTAGATATTTTTATCACTTGGTTCCCTTTTTTCATTGGCTTGATTTCTTCGATTTGGTTTTCTGCGTATATAGGGAACTAGTTGATTTTGGTATCTGTCATAATCAGCCACCATAAATGGGATTCTAACTACTTTGAAGGTTTTCTTTGCTCACCTCCATTCCCCATTCTTCCCGTTTGCTCTAAGCCAGTGCATTTAAGTAATAGTGACTCAAGTGGCACATCTATCTTGTTCTGGATATTTTGGGGTCTTTTCATTGTTTCACCATTTAACTTATATAAAAAAACATGTATTTTCTTCTAATAAAAAGTATATCTCCTCAAACTATTAAAGTTTTCTGGTAAAATGCAGATAATAGATTTCTGTCAGCGCCTCTATTTTGTCTATTTCCTCTCACAGAGAAGCTTTCTGACCTTCTTCCTAAGTTCTTTAATTATTCTCTTTCCAAACTTAGTGGGAAGGTCCAATCCTCCCTCTTCTTTCTGTCCTTGTGCTCTGAAGGTCTGTGAGGATGGTGAACCCCCAGGATGAAGGACATAGATTTTGTTTTTACCTTTTTACAGCTAGCACTGTTCTGCTCAGTGCCCCTAACATTTGAGGGCTTGCCCTGGGGAGACATCAGCATTGCCGATTATTTCTCTAGTTCAGTGACATTTGAGGGGCTTCCATCCACTGGTTATCCATTCAGTTCAGCCTTGTCTGCTTACAGGACTTCCCAGCCCCATCCTTAAGCCCACTTCTAGTTCACACAAAGAGAAGAGAATATCCTCATGCCTCGAACACTAGTTCAAGATGGAATGTGAGGGCATTATCTAATGCTCAGCTTGTGCCTTGTAGGAAGGTGGTTAAAATCATGTTTTGCTTTTCATTTGCCTATCTGGGTTAGACAACATGAAAATTCCCAGTATGTTTCCTGCTTCTCCTGAGATTTTTTTTTTAATTCTTTAATTTTTTTTAAATTTTTTTTTATTTTATTTATTACAAAGTTTACTTTTACATCATTTTGCACATTTTTTTTTTCATCTCGATTGTAATCCCCGCGGGTTTCCCATCACCAAATCACCCCTGTGCCACCACCATAGTCCCGTGCATTTCCCTCCCTTCCCCTCCCCCCCGTTTTTGATCCCATTCCCCACTCCACCCCCACAGAATGTCTCTGGTATATGGTTGTTCATTATTTTTGTTATTTTCTCGCCTGGTCCATTATACTCCTGCTATGAGTGAAACCATCCGGTATTTTTCTTTCTCTTTCTGGCTTATCTCACTAAGCATGATCTTTTCCAGCTCCATCCAAGTTGCTGCAAAAGACATGTGTTTCTCTTTTTTGGTTGCTGAGTAATATTCCATTGTATATATGTACCACATCTTTCTAATCCAGTCATCTACTTTTGGGCATTTGGGCTGCTTCCATGTTTTTCCAATTGTAAATGAAGCAGCAATAAACATGGGGGTACAAGTATCTTTTTCAATCAGTGTTTTTGTGTCTTTTGGGTAGAGACCTAGGAGTGGGATTGCTGGGTCATAGGGAAGCTCCATGTTTAGCAGTTTGAGGAACCTCCAAACAGTTTTCCATAGTGGTTGTACTAGTTTGCATTCCCACCAGCAATGCAGGAGAGTTCCTTTTTCTCCACATCCTCGCCAACATTTGTTGTTGCTAGTTGTTTGAAGATGTGCCATTCTCACTGGGGTGAGGTGGTACCTGAGATTTTTTTTTAAAGATTTATTTATTTATGCATACAGAACTGGGGTACAGGCCGAGGTGCAGCGTGGTGAGAGGATTCGCCAGAGATAGAGTGGGGAACAGAACTGGCAGATTGAGGAAGTACACGGCTGAGGGGAGCAGCGGGCGGGCCAGGAGAGGTCTGCCGCGCCCCGTGGATCACCTCTGGGGCAGGGATTGAACTCGCAGTGAAGCGGTTGTGGCCGGCTTGCAGTGCTGCGTCCTAACCCATCACGCCAGCAGGGAGGCCTCTCCTTAGATTCTTAAGGAGTGAGTATGGAATTCTGCACTGCAATGTCCTCTCCAGGCTAGATTTTGAGAATGGTCCACTCTAGGCTGGAACTTCTGAATCAGACTCACTCTATGCTTGTGGGGAGGTGCAGGAACAGTGGAGCCTGGTGGGACATGTGCGGGACATGTCTCATGAGGCAGTGTGTGGGCGTCTCAGTTCCGCACCACTGTTTGCTTGGCTATAGCAATTTGAAGACAGTGGTATGTGACCGTGT